ACAGCACTGTACTGCTCTATAATTGTTATTGAAATTTGAAAGTATGGATACTATTTTATTGAAGCAGAGTTTGTTAATAATTAGTTTGACTTATATGTAAATAAATAGTTAGATAAGGAATACGAGCTATCAATTTTACAAATCATACAAATTGCTTTATTGAAAATAAAGTGTCTACTATATGAGTATGAAGAAAACGTTAGGGAGGATTAAAATAAAGTCAATTCAAAACAGTTTGATTCCACATGAAAATGAAACATCAGATCTGATTGTTAAGTAAGATGGTGTTAATAGGGCGCTACCTCTAATATATCTCGCATCTTAATTCACCTCTTTAAGTGCATTTAAGATGAATTGAATCTATATTTTAAGTATATATTGCTCTTATTCCTAATCTCTTTTAATATAAAAATTTTTCATAATCAATGAAAGCAATAATTTCGAACAAACTTTTCTATGTCATCAAATGAAGCAAGTAATATGAATATTTGTATTTTTTTTGGGAAATAAATAAGTCAAATTTTCATTTCTCTCGAATTTCACCAACTAACGACATTTATTTATTTATATTGTTTTTCTTGCAGTTTTCGACTTATCATTATAGACTCGGTCTTTCGGTTTGAGGGATAACATATCGATGTTACCAACAAATCTGACAAATCTAACTCCAAAATTCTTGTGGAGAATTGCAAAAGTCGGTCGTATGATTTTGATTTTGATGTGAATGCTTGAAAGCGTCGATTATTTGTGTTTTAAAGATAATTTAAGGCATTTACTTGTAAGTGGCCTTTAATGTTAAATTAGTTAATGCTAGTATTTATTTTAAAATATAAGTGTTCGGGCATTTCATGCCTTAAATTTAAAAAAATTGGATTAAGTCAGAAAATATTTGAATTCTAGATTTAAGTTATTTGAATTAACTAACTAACTAATTAACTAATTGTAAGCGCGCTCATAAATGTATTAATTAATTGCTTCGTTTAAGAAGCGCAACAAGCGACTCAATTCCATTACTTTTGAGCTGATTAGAAAAGAAATGGTGGTCTTTGCTTAGTTTACTATAACTAGGCTTCACTGTTTTTATAATCGGCAGTGGAACAGGCTGTTAAATCTGTTGACTGCCAGTCAGTCAGTTAGTCAGCTAGTCAGTCATTCAAGCGTTCAAACACACAGGCAGACACATGCTACCAATAGTCAGTCAGTTATTAGCCGGAAAAGCTGGAGATGATGGCGACCACGAGCGGCTTTTAAATCTGTTACCGCTGTTACTGCTGATGTGGTTGTTGTTTTTGTTGTTGTTGTTGTTATTGTTGATGAAGACTTTTGCGGTAACTAGACTGCCAGTAATTTGTATTATAAACATATCTCTTTTCTATCTGCCGATGCCGATCTGCCCGTCCAGCTACGCTCCTCTCTCCCCATCCTCCTCCCAATCTTTTTTGCATAATATCCAATGATGATGATGATGATGTTGCTGATGAAGTTGAAGATCATGCTGGGGCCCGTTCAGTAAGTGCAGCTAATAGTCATATGATATGTTATAAGTTCCGCATCGCCATGGCCTGCCGCAGTCCTTAAGCTCTCTTGTCATTTGCATGATTGCACAACGGACCGCGAAAATACACGGCCTTATGGCGCATGTTTCAAGACAAAATGTGACTCTCTGTCGCCCAAGCAAAGGTCAAACATGTTTAAAATGTCATTTTGCAGCCATGCAATTGTTTTTCCACTCAATATCAGTTGTTGTTGTAGGTGTAGTTGTTATTGTTGGGTGTTGCTAAACAAACGCGAATTGGCGTTGCAGTCTTCTGTTTTTTACATTTTTAAATGAGTTTAATTTTATTTTTTTGGGGCACGCCGACCTTCGCCGTGAAAACAAAGGCAACCACACGGTGTTTGCAATATATTATATGCTAATTATATCATATATTTCAATTTGCTTGTAAATTGAGCCCCCCAGGCATCATCACGAGAATAACAAGCGCGGTTTAGAGCTTGACATGCGACATTTTTACGAGTAGTGGGGCTGATGGGTGGAAGTGGAGGTGGATCCCCCGATTATCTTGCATTTCGTGCACTGAGAATTGAGCACCGCATGGGCAGATCTATAACAACACACACACACACAAGTAACTAGTAAATAAATATGTTCTATGACAGCTCGTAAAAACCACGGAAACTAAATACTTTTCTCAAAACAGGAAATGGCTCTTCTGGGCAGCCTCTTCGAATTGTGCCTTTGTCGGGTAGTGAAGAAAGAAGAAAAACCAATTTAAAAGTCAAATTTAAGCATCGGGGCAAAAGAAAAATGCCAAAGTTACATGTCTCAGCATAAAATAACAAAATGAGGCAAGACATTGTGATGGCAGTGGAGGAAGTACTCTAAAAGGGGGAACAGAGAGTTTAGACAACGACTACAAGAAATGTGTGAAAGTGTTGTTGGCTGAGTAGTCAACAATTTTACAGCAATTTCAACAGATGTTCAACACACGCGCGTCTCTATTACCCTTCCCTGCCCCTTCCCCTACCTCCCCCTCCCTGCCACCCACTATCTCTCCCACCACTCTGGTTGCACTCTTCAAGCCCAAGCCCGAAAGTGAAGCTGAAGAATGCATTTCAACTATGCACGCGCTTTGTTCCCACAAAATCGAAAACTTTAAAGTTAAAGCTAAAGCCAAAGGAAATGCGCAGAATTCACATCATCATCATCATGATTATGGTGATGATGATGGTAGGTGTTAAGTAGTGATGGCCAAGAAATATCTAACTGCTCTCAAAATACTGCCATACTTAATAGGTCTAGTTTTGTTTTTAAAAGAAATAAGTTTACAGATATGGCATTACTTGTGTTAATATATTGGTATTATTTGTATATCGGAATGAGGAAAGAATCAGTTAAAACAAATTTAATAACATATATTTTGAATCGAATCTTGTTATAAACATTTTTATGATTATCATCAAATCAAATTTTCTTCCCGAAAAGTAGAAATTAAATAACATCTATCTTGAGTCTAAACTTGTCATAAACATTTTTATGATTTAATGATCTTTCTTCTCGAAACGTAGAAATTTAATAACATCTATCTTGAGTTGAAACTTGTGATAAACATTTATATGATTTGATGATTTTACTTCCCGAAAAGTATAAATTTAATAACATATATTTTGAGTTCAAAATTGTTATAAATATTTATATGACTTGATGATTTTTCTTCGCGAAAGGTAGAAATTTATTCTTTTATTTTTTTAAAAAGTTTTCTAAAGAGAGAAAGTCGATATTTTATATTTATTTAACTTTTTCACAGTTTTGCGAAATCAGTTTTTCTAAGCGACCTCTTCAATGATCATAAGCACTAACCCGATGTGTTTTGGAAAAACAGTTCTAAGTATAATAGGGGTTATGGAAAAATTTGTGATAGAGGGTAGAGCTGCTTCAGATAAACACAAATAGAAAGATTAACTGCTTAGGGCTCAGGGGCGCCTTTCGAGAGCCTAGTGTAGGCAGGGGTATAAGCAGACGGACTTAGCAGCTATGTCGAATCATCAAGACCATATATATATACTTTGTTGTATATGTACATTCGTACTTAACTAGTATTTCCTTTTAAATTTTTAAATTTTTAAATTTTTCCTCAAATTTAGGCTCAACTTCCGATTGTCGAACGTATTACAGTTAGCTTTAGCTAACTGAATATTTTTTAATTTTAAGCTTAATAAATTATTGATTAATAAATATGGTAAATAAAAGTGGGCGTGCTGTTGATCGTGATTTTTCGTGCGTGATTCTTTAAGCCCCTTTGGATCAGCAGTTACCACCTCTAGTGCGAAGGTAAGGAGGCTGCTTGTTGGCTACAACCTGAATTGGTAATTAAAACTATGCGCAACTGCAACAGCTGGTGTTGTTGTTGCTATTGTTGTTGTTGTTATTGTTGCTGCTGCTGCATTAACACCCTCTCTATACAAAGCAGCATGATAAACATGGAAGCGCAAGTTTCTCTCCAGCCAGCCAGCCAGCCAGCCAGCCAGGCACCCAGGCAGCGCATGCTTTTTAATGTATCTTTTAGTTAGCTGCTGCAACAAACAACATTTTCAATTAAGTGTTGCTGCTGATGTTGCAGTTGTTGTTGGGATGGGCGTGTGTGAGAAATGTTGCTGCTACTTGGATATGTTATACTATATGTATGTATGGAGGTCGCTTGTTCTCTCTGCTTAGCATAAGCAATTCTATTGTCTTGCAATGTGGAATGTGTTACCAACTGCCACAACATTATGGCCAGTTAGCTGACGGTTCTTGTAATTATAAAAGAAGGAAAATAAGTACGAGCTAGGGCCTATTAGAAATATGGGTGTTGCTGGCTGGCTGGCTGGCTGGCTGGTGGCTGTGTGGGTAGTCATTAACAGTTCTTGGGAATGCAAGATGGAAATCAGGTGAAAATATGAAATTAACTCTTATGATGCAGAACTCGATTCCCATGTTCTTGAGTGAAGAAAAAATGCATAATTTAAGTTGCTTTCTTAATAACTATAAGAAGAATTTAAGGTCAAGTTTGCACTGCGAAAACAAAGCAAAAGAAAATTAATTAAAAATAGAGTATTCGACAAAAAAAAACTAGCTAACTTTAATTTTATTTTAAGCACCATACAATCCCTCAGAGTTCGAATTCTTTTCCCACACTCCCACATGCAAGTCTATTTATTGCTCACATAAGTGGGGGGGCGCCTCACTATTTACCATAAATCACAAAAATTTAATTAAAACTTAAGCCGGAACCAAAACACATGCTAAGCGCAAATGAACTCATTTACACAGATTTTTACGAGCCATAATTCTAATCTGTAATCGGTGAGCTGCGAGCTCCGAGCACTTAAGACCCGATCCGGACCGGACTCTAAAATTTAAAGCGCTCCCAAAGACAACGCGCGTGCGCAATTATTTCAAAGTTTACGAGGCAATAAAACGAGTGAAAAATAAATAAATAATAAAAAATAAAACTTACCTTTCTATGTGAGACCAAGAGCGGTGTGTGATTGTCAAAGGCTGTTGGGAATAGAAAGAAAACAACAGAAATTCAATTAAAATCCATTATTACGTAATAAATTGAAAAGGTTATAAAAATCAGCACTTATTGCATTTACATTTACATTTACATTCATTTATACAGGCTATGTCGGATACAGTTACACAAATAATTAATAAAACGTTAAATTGTGCAATTAAGCAAATGATCAGCTCTAATCGCCACCTTTCCCATTCCAATTGCCTTTTAAAATATGCAAACAGTTGAATCGCTCTCTGACTTACAATTTCTTTCTTAACATTTCATGTTGTCTGCACTTCCGCACTTGATGGCCAAGCCCAAGCGAAAAATTGTAACAAAAATCACAGCATAGTGCGGGTATCGTACTTGTATAAATAAAAACTTGAAACGGGTTCAGCAATCATAAACTTGTTATGCAGACGGACAGGCGGACATTGTGGGCCGAGGGGTTGGCCGATTAGGGGCTGGGGGGAAATTGGAATTGGCAGCATTGTGGCAAGACCAACCACGGTTCAACGGAAAACTGTCAGCGAAATGTAAGTTATATCTCAATATACTTGTATATACTACTCGCATGTACATTTATATATATTTATTTATGCGATCGAGTGTGCATGTGAGCTTATTAAGCGCAATGCATTTGTTGGCATTTTGTTTAACAATTAAATGCAATTTTGAAAAGTTGCACAAATATAGGCGGCTACAAATATAAATAGCTATAAAAAATGGTTAAATTGTTGACACAGCGGCGCACAGTTTTTTACACTAAGCAGCAAAAAAGTAAAGTCTAACCAAATTGAATTGAAAACTAAATATTAACACATAAAGCAATTGGTAATTATTTACACTGATGGGAGAATAGGAGGGGCTGAGGATTTGAGGAATTTATTTTGCAGCTTGCAATAAGCCAGACAAAATTTCCACTGATTCAAGTCATCATTTAAAGGGATACAATAATAATGGATATTGATGAAATTCTTAGAAGCGGTACTTATAGTGCAGATGGTATATGTAAGGCAGATCTAAGGCTACATAAATACGATTTGTGTCCAACTCACTCACTCGATATTAGTGATTTTTCCATAACTCCCGTAATTCGTGAAATTTTGTAAGCAACTTTCCCATAACTACCGTAATTCCAGAAGATCCCTTTAAAGAACTTTTTCCCATTTAAAACAGATATGTGATTTTCCCATAACTCCCGTAATTCCTGGAGATTTTTTTAAATAACTTTTTCCCCATTTAAAGCAGATATTTGATTTTCCCATAACTCCCGTAATTCCTGGAGATTTTTTAAAGAACCTTTTTTCCCCACTTAAAGCAGATATTTGATTTTCCCATAGCTCCCGTAATTCCTGGAGATTTTTTAAAGAAGTTTTTTACCCATTTAAAGCAGATATTTGATTTTCCCCTAACTCCCGTAATTCCTGGAGATTTTTTAAAGAAGTTTTTTACCCATTTAAAGCAGATATTTGATTTTCCCCTAACTCCCGTAATTCCTGGAGATTTTTTAAAGAAATTGTTTTACCCATTTAAAGCAGATATTTGATTTTCCCCTAACTCCCGTAATTCCTGGAAATTTTTTAAATAACTTTTTTACCCATTTAAAGCAGTTATTTGATTTTCCCATAACTCCCGTAATTCCTGGAGATTTTTTAAATAACTTTTTTACCCATTTAAAGCAGTTATTTGATTTTCCCATAACTCCCGTAATTCCTGGAAATTTTTAAACAACTTTTTTCCCATTTAAAACAGATTTGTGATTATCCCATAACTCCCGTAATTTTTGGAGATTTATTAAAGACCTAGAATTTCCCCATTTAAAGCAGATATTTGATTTTCCCATAACTCCCGTTATTCCTTGAGATTTAAGAAAAAAAAACTTTTTTTCCCCATTCAGATATTTGCTTTGGCCTGCACCTCAATAAAAACGACCTCAAATTTGTAGCTTAGTGTGATAGATTGATAGACAGTGGCTATTATAGCTATATGGGTGGTGCATGCCGGCCGGCTGACCGGCTTGTGATTACAGGGCGTGTAGAGTGCGACAAAACTTGGACAGGTTGGCCGGCTCTCGACGCTTTTGTGGCTCGCCAATTTCATTTGAAATTTATTAAGCGTGACTGACATTTGGCGGCGCTTTGTAATTACTACGCCCCAGCATTCCACACGCATTACACTATACTATACATAAGTATAAATAGTATAAAACAAAGAAGCAATAAAATTATTCATACTGCTCTCGGCATTGTGTTTGTGCCCTTTGGTTGTTCCGCTTAAAGCTTTGAACCCGTACAAATTTGGTTGTAGTTTTTGGCCTTTTTGGAGCAGGTACTCAGCAACACACACACACACACACATAGTTTAATGGCCCAGCTGAGGAGCGCTGTTTTGCACTTTTGAAGCGGTTGGCGGTTTGGGCTAAGAAGAGCCTGAGGTAAGCCAACAGCATGATATCATTATGACTTGTACATCACTTTCGCAGGAAATGAAGAAATAAGTCAAAAAAAAAACCATAATCTAAGCAGACAGGTCAGCTTGTTCCTCAGCTGGACATGTTTTCATACATCGTCCATTCAAAAGAATTTTAAAGAATAGTCTCTGTCTCTGCCGTCTCGAGCATGCCGCGAATTTATAATTAAATAATAAATTTTCAGCGGCCGCAACGGTTCCACATCATAATTAATTGACATTTAGCAAAGAATTTCAAACGAAAGGAAGATCTTTATATTCTTTCCGCTCTTGTGTCTTGCCAATTGTCAAAATTTGCGCGCATTTAAATTTATTAATGCTTGATTTATGGGCCTGGGAACATGTGTTGAATTTGATTGCTTGGAATTCGAACGTTACAAATTTTGACAGTTCAAAGATACATTCATTCAAATGGCTTGGAGATAGCGAAGCACTTGTGGCCTCGCGGCCATCTGTGAGCTAAAAGTAGCAGATTAGTGATGAATTAACAATAAGCTTGACAGGCCATAAAGAATGAAAACCGTTAGGGGAATTAGTCTGGTTGACAGCCATGGATTAGATGGATTAGCGTAAGGCAACGACAATAGAAATGCTGACAACTCTTATCTATCTATAGGTTTGGCTCGTTTCTAACTTACATATGTACTCGTACTATATATAATGTTTATGATATTGCATTATAAAAACATAAAACCCTGCCCCAACAAATTGTTAATCATGGTTACCCTGAAAAAAGAGCGAACCCCTAAGATCACTCATAAAATTTTGCAAAATAAATATTCGTATTGCCTTTGATCCAATAAGCTAGCTGCGTAGTTGAATGTTCAATTGTTTGCATTTCTTTTGACGTTTTAACGTCAAGCTGTTTATATTGTTTGTGTTTTTATTTGATTAAGCTTTTAAGCTGAACTGTAGCGAATTTGTGCTTATCTGCTATATATATACTATATAAGGCGATTCTTCCTTGTAACGCCGCCGGTAAAGAGATGGATAGGATGCTGAAATTTATTTAAATTATTAAAAATTCTCACAGCAAGCTAATCCATGCGCCTTTTTGTGAAACCAGGGAGGCGCCTATCCATTCATTAGAATCGATAATTATTTTCTATGTAATCCTAAAGCAAACATTACAACTAAAATTGATTAAAATTGCGTATTGAAGTCAAAGGTATCTGGATACCAATTTCAACATATTTTGTTTCCGATGTATAAACAAATTAATTTTCCTTTTATACTTCCATCACTAATATAGCCAAGATTTTACGTCCATGGTTTAAATATCGGGTTGTTTGTGAGCCGTTTTGCTTTAAAATTGAATATATACATATAATAGCAGTATATTTTTTGAAGATGCTAAATAACTGTTTGCAATTTAGTTTTTAAAAATGATTTCAAGTATAAATATGTTGAACGGTTCGCTTTATAAGATCCATAAAAGAAATCCAATTGTGGATCACTCTTTCGAGCCATTTTTTATTCCAAAACTGCAAACGAGGCTGACCAGAGATGAGTTTGTACTAATATTTTTAGTACTGTGTTAATTTTAAAATTTATTGAGAATATATTTCAAAATTTCTTTTGTTTAAATTCCTATAATAACATAATAAATTTGTTTCTAATGATTTTCACTTTATTTTGGATTGTGGATCACTTTTCCGAGCAATTTTGTTTTCCAAAACCGCAAACGAGTCTCGCTTCTCACCAAAGATGAGTTTGTACTAATATTTTTAGTACTGTGATAATTTTAAAATTTATTATTCTCAATAAATATTTCAAAATTTCTTTTATAACAAATTTGTTTCAAATAATTTCCACTATATTTTCTTTTTCTTTTATTTTTTTTATTTCATTAATATTTCTTTGAGTTTTTTTTAATTTCTCGCTAATATTTTTTCTTATACACATTTATATTTAGTTCAGTGGGTTAAGGTTGTGTTTTCCCAGAGAAATGATTTATTTATGAATCGAACAAAAACAAAGTCATCGCCTCTGAGTCATTGTTGCAAGCCTAATGGCTATTAATAGGCCTTTTTTCATTCACTTCACATGTCAAAGTTTTCTTTTTCAATATTTAAGCTTTTGCTTTCTTTCATAACATGGACTTTGCATTGCTTTAAAAAAGCGCAACACATAAAAACAAATTAGCAAATTGCATGATAAGATTAGATTAAAAATTGTACCCAAAAGTTGTGTAAATGAAAAGCTTTCATATATAATATCTAAGTGTTCCAGTTCTTTGTTGAGTTGCAATCGAATTGAAATACTCTAGAGCTGGATTTGTTTGCATTTACCAAATCAATCAATTTAATTATAACTGATAATAGCGAAGTGCATGTTTTTGTCTGACTTTCGTAAAATTCCTCCACCCCTTCGCCCGCGATTGCAATTTTAGTTCAGTGCTGAATAGAAAAGCATAAACATTTTCATGTCTATCTCGCACTTTTTACTCATTTTCTTAATAAAGTTTTGCTTTGTTGTTGCACTGACTCTATAAGCCACAACAACAATGCTGCTGTTGACCAAGTGG